CAAATATACCCCTAAGATTTATTTAAAATACAAAATTTCCCATATAATTTTGGAAATTACAATCCATTCCCTAAAGTTTTTAATTTCATAACAAAGATCCTTTATTAATAAATCATCAAGTTAATTAATGATTTTTAATGATGTCAGAAATTTATTTTAATTAATAATTTAGATAATTTTATCATTGTATAAAAGAACAGTTAAAAATTTTATTTTTCAGTTAATTCTGTTAAATAAAAAATTCTAATAGGGACTATTTATAATATTTCAAACTTTAAGGGGCAATTCATATTTTAAGTGAATTTCATAGAATGTATTTGTAATTTGCTCTAAGAATTATTATTGCTGTTATAAATAAATGAAATTTAAAATATATAGGCACAAATGAAGCAGGCAATGAAATTTTGGGGACATGCTAAATGTAGCAAAGAGTAATCTATATAAATTTAAAATGGTAAGAAAAAATGATAACACAAACAATTTTTGTGGAGGGAAGATTTTATTTTATTTTATATTTGAAGTAGGGAAATTTGGTTATAAACTCTCTTTACTTTCCTTTCATTGTTAAAAGGACTAAGAAAAAAATTATACTTTCTAAGCCCCCTCATAATTATAAAGTCTTGCATAAAGGACAAATTTATTATTTAAATATTTTATATGACTATTATACCCACTCTCTTCCCCACTCTGTTCCTTTCCATAGATGGCCTCTTCAAAAAGACCGGCGAGCTCTGCAACTTGTGCGGCACCGAAGCCGCCGTCATCACCTTCTCCAACGCCGGCAACACCTTCGCCTTCGGCAACCCCTCCATCGACTCCGTCCTCGACCGTTACCTCTCCATGACTTCATCATCCTCTAGAGCCTCCGCAAGCTTTTCTTCCCTCTTTCGATATAGGGTTTCAACTCAAATCTGTGCACCATGAACGATTCCGATCTCTAATCTCCCGAGATATATAGATATTTATCTATATCTATATCTATATATATGTGTGTGTTTGTGTGTTTTGAGATTTGAATTCGAATATATGTGTTTTGATATTTGAATTCGAATATATATATATCTACATATTCCGATCTGTAATATATATATATATATGTGTGTGTGTGTGTTTGTGTGTTTTGAGATTTGAATTCGAATATATAGATTTTTGAAAGCTCAAAGTTTTAAAAATCTGTAAAATCTGAAAAATCTGAAGAACCGGGGTATGAAAAATTGAGATTTCTTTAAAATTTTCAGATTATAGGCCTGATTCAAGGATTATAGGTATGATTCAATATTTTTCAAAGTAAACATCGATTGATTCAAGGATTATAGGCCTGATTCAAAGCTCAAAGCTCAAAGTTCCATCGATTTTTCAGAGTAAACATCAAATTTCATTTGATAGAACCAGAGTAAAATTTTACTTTTATACAGAGTAAAATTTTATTTTTAGCTTCAGAGTCTTACAGTTTACTTATTTTTCAGAGTAAAATTTTACTTTTATACAGAGTAAAATTTTACTTTTAGTTTCAGAGTGTAAAATTTTACTTTCATTCATAGTAAAATTTTACTTTTATACAGAGTAAAATTTTACTTTTTGCTTTAGAGTCTCACAGTTTACTTGTTTTTCAAAGTAAAATTTTACTTTTATATAGAGTAAAATTTTACTTTTAGTTTCAGAGTGTAAAATTTTACTCTTATTCAGAGTAAAATTTTACTTTTATACAGAGTAAAATTTTACTTTAGTTTCAGAGTGTAACATTTTACTCTGAAATATACAGTGAAGATCGCTTAATAGGAGAGCTGATAGATATGAGGGTAATATAGTAAAAGAAACAAGTTTTAAAATATTAGGGTGTTTTGAAAGTACTTATATAATTCTTGTCCTTTTGAAAGACAAATTAGATAGTGAGGGGGCTATCACCAAATCCCCCTTTGAAGTACTAGAGCATGAACAACAGTTGGATTCTGTTCTTCAATAAAAACGGCAGCGCAACATTTTATTCTCAACAATGGTCCGTTTGGTAGAGCTGTGAAAAAGTGATTATAATTTATAATCTAACAGCTTATAATTTATAGCTATGAATATAAGTTATTTTTTACCTATAAATTAACTTTTTCCTCCTCCACTAAAAGAATAAGTTAATTTTTGACTTATAAAAAGCTATAAGCTGTATTGTAAAGCTGAACCAAACACATCAAAATAGCTTAAATTAAACAAAAAGCTGAAATAAGCTGAAAATAAACCCTATCAAACAGGGCCAATGATTATAGTGTCTTCTTTTACCCAAAAAAAACAATTACTTAGTAGTGGTGTCAGAGATAAAAAAAATATAAATTAATAAGAAATTTATAATATTAATCATTAATATTTATAATATTTTGTATTTCTTAATAAATATATTTTACTAACAACGTATCGGTGTAATTTTTTCAAAAAAAATTAAACCCATATCAATGAGGCCAAGTTTGACAATCAAAAAATAATCCATCTTTTTATCTTTTTTCCATCACATCATCTCTCTACTTTTCTACACATCTTTTCATAAAAAAATAAAAAATACATTTATTTAGGTCATCCCAAACAACCCTAAATATATCCTTGTTTCAATATAAAAAATATTTTTTAAATATGTCTCATTGAAATCCTAATTGTCGTTGTATTGTGTTATAGAGTGCTTATTTTTCTTACAATAAAAATGACCTTGCGCTTGAAGGATTCCAAACCTGTTATCATCTTACCCAAACAATACGTACATACTTACCTATTGAAAGCCTGACTCCATGAGAATGGTTCACTTTGTGCTTAGAAACCACCTTCTCCAACTCTATGTCTACAATCTTTGCCCACATCAACAAAGTTGAGACTTGAGTATCGATTCACTTTGTGCTTGGATAGAGGGCAATTATTCATTGTCACCTGTGATTGACTTGACAAGGTTATATCACAAATAAATTTCGACCTTTCATTCATGTGAGACCCACATAGAACCCACATAAATAAATAGTTCAAATATATTTGTGACATTGTCACATGTGATATAGAATAATTTTTTCTAATGGGCGGATGCACCAAGTTCCTTTAAATGGTTAGATTTCTCTACAACAACAATTTCAGTTTATTTTGTATTTTAAAATTTTCTGATACTTGTTAAATATGATGAAATTTGATGATGTGGACAAATCATAACCATTGAAAATAGGAATTGGGACCATTTCTCCTTAAACTATCAATTATAACCCAAAATGAGCATTTCCAACTATTTACTTGTTAAAACACTAACTATTGTTATATTGTAATAATGAATAAATTGTCATTATAATTTAATAATGTTGTTCCAATAGTATTTTTGTTATATTTTCTTGCTTTAATCACAATTATTGAATTGTTAATTTTCCCATTTAATCACAACTCTCTATTTGATGAGTTAGTAATTTTACCTGCAACTATTCCTTGTGTCAAATACAACACAAAGAATAACAATTCTATCAAAAGGTTTGTTATTGTCAAAAACTACACGGATCTCAATTTTGAGCTCTCAAATTACCGGCTAAAATTTGACAACCCTCTTTATTTCTACAAAACCATTTGGCATTTTGTAAGGAAGAATAAACATTTGCACCATAAGAATTACATTTTTAGCATATAGCATTCTCACATTTTTTTTTATTGTTGCTTAAAATATAGTAAAAACTAACAATTTAGCTCTTTAACCACTAGAGATGCTAAGGCCGAGTTTGGCATCCTCCAAAAAATCCAAAAAGTCAAAAAGTCACTATCCTATTTAAGTCACATCATCTTATTTAAGTCACATTACCTCTCTATCACATCATTTCAAACCCAACCCATACCCAACCCATATTTCATAAAAAGTCAACAAGTACACTTATTTAGGACACCCCAAACAACCCCTAAATTTATAGGATGAGAAACATTTTTTATACAAAATTTTGATGCACAAAATCTCTCATATGAGTGGATTTCACATGTGTGAGCCCCACTTTCATGTGAGAGCTTCTGTTCATTCTACGTACTAGAAATCTGTGCATGTAGCATTGTTGATGGTAGAACTGAGTAAAAAATTTTAAAAATTACAAACCGATCCAATCCAAGTATTGTTTGATTTTCTCAATACAAGACTTGATTTTAGTTCTTAAAATAAGTGAAACATGATTCTTGATTCGATCAGTGACTTTATATAAATACGGATTCAATTTAAAATCAAAATAGACCATTTACATATACACATATAAAAATTTAAAACTTATCGTAAACACTCAAATATCTTATTGAGACATTTAACAATCAATTTTATTAACTAGACTTATTTACCTACAAACCCTTACTGATAAATTTATCAATAGTTTACCCTATCTTTGTATCAAAATATACATACAAAAGTTGTAATCCTCAATTTTTGTAAGCGTGATCTTGTTTAGACAATCATTTAAACAATTCTTAAATTATGAATAATATTTTCTAATCATGTTGTGAATTGATAGCAAAATTTCTAAAAATTGCGGTTCAAAATTGAACCAAACCGCATTTTACTGGTCAGCATGATTTGGTTGCAAAATTTTCATGATTTAGTTCTAAATTTCATAAAATTGCAAGTAATGGTTCGGCCCTTAATTTACTTCTAAACCAAATCATACTCACCCCTACTCAATGGTTTTACTTCACCATTAGATAAGTCATTTTTGGACTTCGGTTATTTTTCAACAACAGCAAGAGTTTTACTTGATCATTAAAGTAGCTCTGATGTAGCAATAAATTGTTGCATCACAGCATAGAGATAACAATATTCGTCACCTAATAAATTTCACTAGGTTTTTCAACTCTTACTTTGATCCAAACAAGCAGCGCTATGGTAGATCCTACATATATACATGACGTATTGTTAAAAATTGAGAAAAATGGTCAAATTTATTATAACAACCCTCTAACAAAAAATAGAACCATAAGGTTTGTAAACAAACATTAATATTCACCCAAATGGAGTTGGAGGGGACAAAGGATGGTCTAGTGAATGAGGTACTCCCTCATTGTTGTGTTATACAAGAAAATGGAGATTTCCATCACTATAAAAATTCAAAAATCAATCCACCTGAGTTTCATACATAGTAGATGCCAATACAGGGGCTTTTTACATCAACTGCCTATGCAAATGACGATGTTTTTTACACAATCTGAAATACATAGGCATTGTGCTATGATCATAGGATAAGAATTCTTGGAAGGAATCAGAGTGGCCATAGAAACAAATAGACAAGATTTGCATGCAAACATCCTGGATGGTTCCATAAACTAGCAACAAATTTCACCATCCTTCACCATATTGTTGTATAAAAACTGATAAAATAAACTAGCCAAACTCACACAAACATCAACCTAACCTTGCTTCTCTTTGTAGTACCTGAAACAGGCAAAAAAAAGTTATCAAAAAAGCATGGTGAAAAATCTGTCTGTAAGCGTGTTTGAGATGGGCATCTACAAATACATGTTACAAAGCCTACTCTTAGTTACTAGCATCAGAACTCAGAAAAAAACAGAGATTCTTCCAGATTTTTAAACAGAAGAAATACTATTTTGTGCCAATAAAAAGTAAAGGCAATATCATAAACTTGGGCAATATGCTCTTCTGGAAAAATGTTGGCAAGAAAGTATTAGTAATATTATCATCTCCAAGAAGGGCCTCAACAGCCCCCAGTAGTCTTGGAAAGCCCCTTTCTATAACAAGGTGACTCTTCACCATAAAGTTCATCTTCTAATTCCACTAAAAAGGGGGAAGTCCTGCCCTGCATGACATTTTTTGGAAATCAGATTCTCCAAGTGAAGACAACTCTTTCCACAAATCAGTCATTAAACTTTAATTTGCAATAACAATTAGGGGTGTAAAAAAACCTCACGGATTAGCAAGATTACATGTGTATTTAAAGGCTACTGCCTCCTGGCTCTCTTAATTCCTACTCGGATTAGAATTTAAAGACTAAGATACTTCAACTTTGACTACTAAACTATTCTAGGCCCTAATGAAACCACATAATGATCCTACAACATAGTTTGAGCCATAAGATTACCCATTGGCAACTCCTGTAGCCCATGTCCAATAATTAGAAAAAATATCAAAATACCAACCACTAAAACCCAATAAAACTGTAAGGATTTGAGAATTCAGTAATTGAATTCATCTCAATAGAGGTATATATAGATGTTACAATGAGTATAATAAAGGCGTTACAGAAATTAGGTCTAATCATAATCAACCATAATCCTAAATCTAGGCCTAAATATATGTAACAGAATATTTGGAAATATACAAATAAGGAAAGAATCAATAGACAACTAAGGGGGCTGCCTAACACTCCCCCACAAACTCGACGGCCTAGGAAGGACAAGTTTGGAATGTAGAAGCTCATAGCGATGCCTGTGAAGCCTCTTAGTGAAGAGATCAGCAATCTGATCAACATATGGAACAAACTGAACGTGATGGCTGCCAGATTGTACAAGTTCACAAATGAAATGATAATCAAGCTCAATATGTTTGGCGTGTGCATGGAAAACAAGATTGGAAGCCATGTATGTGGTGCTAACGTTATCACAGTAGAGCATGACAAGTGTGGAATAAGGTAAGTGTAACTCGCGAAGAAGGTGCATAATCCAAACCATCTCAACACTTACACAAGCTAGGGACCGGTACTCTGACTAGGCGCTTGAATGAGAAACAGTACTGTTTCTTGGAACTCTAAGAGATGAGGTTTGGACCTAAGAAGATACAATAGCTTGAAGTGGATCGCCGAGTATCAGGACATCCAGCCCAGTCAGCATCAGAGTAGGCATGAAGAGCTAAAGGACTAGAGGAAGGGCGAAAAACTAACCCAATATATAAAGTGCCTTTAAGATAGCGTAGAATGCGCTTAACAGCAGCAAGATGCGTGGTTCAAGGGGTACTCATGAACTGAGCAACATGATGAACCGCAAGCGCAATGTCTAGACGAGTCAGGGTCAAGTATTGTAGCAAACCAACCATGTGACGACACTTGGTAGCGTCAGACAGGGGATCCTCCTCTAGGGCAAAGAGTTGGGTTTTTGCACTCAAGGGAGTATTGCACGGTTTGCACTCCATCATAGAATTGCAGCACAAAAGATCAATAGTATACCTAGTTCGGGATAAGTGTAGGCTAGAACCTAGTGAGGACACCTCAAGACCCAAAAAGTAGTGAAGGGAGCCAAGGTCTTTTATCTCAAACTCAGTGCCAGGAGTAGAAACAAAGGAGGAGAGCAGAGATGACTCATTTCCGGTAAGCACAATGTCATCCACATACAATAGGAGAATCATAACTTGAGACAAGCATCGATATACCAACATGGAGTGGTCAGCTTGGCTTTGAGTGAAACCATACTAAATAATAAAGGAGCAGAACCGTTGAAACCAAGTGTGAGGTGCTTGTTTGAGACCATAGATAGCCTTGCAAAGTTGCCAGATGTGATTAGGACATTGGGGGTCTACAAACCCCGCCAGTTGAGTCATCAAAACAGTCTCTTGAAGAAATTCATGCAAAAAAGCATTCTTGACATCCAATTATTGTAGAGACCAACCAGAAGAAATGGCCAAGCTAACAATAGTATGAAATAGTGGTTGGCTTAACCATGGGGCTGAATGTCTCATCATAATCAAGGCCATGTTGCTGATGAAAACCCTTAGCCACTAAGCGAGCCTTGTAATGTTCAATAGAACCATCTGCTAAGCGTTTAATCTTGAAAACCCATATGCAACCAACTGCATTCTGACGCGAGGAATGAGGAACCAAGGTCCAAGTTTGATTTTCACGTAAAGCATTAAATTCATCGGTCATAGCAGCCCGCCATTCCGGATATCGAGCAGCTTGAGAAAAACAAGTAGGCACCTCAGTAGAAGAGGAAAGCTAAGCTGCAAGGGCACGTGGTAAAGGATAGCGCACAGTGCCATCCGTGCGAACCAATGGTCTCTGGATCTCATCACGAAGACAAGTGACCATGGGATGTATTTGAATAGATGTTGACAGAGATGACCCAAGGTTTGAAGAGAACCCATCAGGTAAAGAGCCCGATGGTGCTGGTGGAGAGCTTGGCATGGAGTGTGAACTAGGAGCTGTTGAAGGTAAATCTAGCATAGGCGCGGAACGGAGCTGATAGTGTTGTGGAAAAGATTCAATAAGCCTGGATGCAGGAATACTGGCAGTGGGAGAATCTGAGGTGGATGCATTAGGGGCTTGCTGGAGAGGTGGATTGCGAGTGCACTGACATGTAGCTGCTAGAGGAAGGGCAATCACAAAGGTATGATATGAAGTTTCTTGAGAGCGGGAGACAGATTGCCTTTGAGTCTTAAGGAAATGTTGCCTCATCAAAGCGTACATGATGGTTACATGTAGACCCTATTGGTTACTGAATCAAGGCATCGATATCCCTTGTGCTGTGAGTTGTAACCTATGAAAACACATTCAATAGATCTTGGCAATAGTTTGTTAGTAACATAAGCACCAAGATATGGGTAACAGGCACCCCCAAAGACACGAAGAATAGTTTAACATGGTGGATGACCAAACAGACGAGAAAAAGGAGACTCCCATCGCAAGACTGGAGTGGGACGGCGATTCATAAGATAGATCGCAGTGGACACTGCTTTAACCCAAAGATCGAGGGGGACACAACTAGATACAAGAAGAGTACGGGCCATTTCAAGGATGTGGCGATGCTTGCGTTCAGCTAGACCATTTTGTTCTGGAGTGTGAGGACATGAAAGGCAATGGTGAATCCCTAGAGTCGTGCATAATTCAAAAACCAAAGAAATAACATACTCTGTTCCTCCATCACTCTGAAAAGATTTTAGAGAACTATCAAAATGATTTTTAATAGACGCAACAAAGGTTTTAAAATGGATAATAACCTCTGATTTGTGATGCATAGGATAAATCCAAGTGTAACGCATGAATTCATCAGTAAATAAGATAATATTTATATCCAGATATTGAAAGGACTGGAGATTGCCAAACATCAAATTGAACTAATTCAAAAGGAGCAAAGACACTTATTTCATTATTGATGGAAAAGGAAAGATGTGTGGATTTACCCAATGCACATCCCTTACAAAAGGATTTTTGAAAGCGAAAATCAGAAGATAGCATTTTATTGGACCCTAAATAAGACAAAACCTTGTGAGATGGATGACCAAGGCAACTGTGCCAAACTAACGAAGGCAAGATAGTAGAAGCGAAAGCTTGTGGAACAGGATGAACATATGGTAGAGGATAGAGATCATCCCTACGTAGGGCCTCAAATAGAAGAGCACCAGAGGCCAAGTCCAAAATGTAGTAATGATTAGCATCAAAGGCAAGTGAGACATGATTATCCTTAGTAAATTGAGCAACCAATAGAAGGTTCTTTTGCATAGCGGGAATATGATAAACATTGGGAAGCTGAAATGAAGAAGAAGAACCAAGGGGTAAAGACATGTTACTAGTGTGGGTGATGGGAAGATTATCACCATTGCCAATTTGCCAAGAAAAACTGAATCTGATCCAGTGTAACGAGTACAATTCTACAAAGGACGAGCATCTCTAGCCATGTGATGGGTAGCACCAGTGTCAGGACACTAGTTTGGGTCATAAGCTGTCTCGGGCTGATAAGACAAATGGGATTGTTGAAAGGGTGATGGAAGGGCCTGTTGCCGATAAGCTTAGAGAGGGTAAGTCAAAGGAAGAGATTGTTGTGCCAATTGAAGACCAGAAAAGGCAGTATGAAGAGAGTCAACAGGTGGGCGAGTACACCATCTAGGACACTGAAGAGCCATGTGCCCAACACCATTGCACAACAATCAGATGGAACTCGAAGATCCAGCAGAACCTTGATGAGCTTCGGAACCACAATTATTGTGATTGTGACAACCCCTTTGCGATTTCAATTCCTATTATGTCCTCCACGATTACCAAACCTAGTGCCTTGTCCAGAACTAGGATGGGTTTGTTTACCACGATACCATTGGGCCAAAAGAGCAGTTTGTAGAGATGGAATAGCAACAGATGCTTGAGCCTCAAAGGATAGGAAGCGAGCACGAAGGTCTTGAACGAAGGTAACAGGGGAAAGTATAGGGTGGCAATCATAATCATCTCATAGCCGGGGCCCAAACCACGAAGAACATGAGTCAGTAAATCATCGTTGGACACCGTTGGCCAATTGAAGCCAAGGACTTGGCATAGAGTAGATAGTCAGAGATGGACCAATTGTCCTTCGTAAGCGACAATAAGCAAAATCGAAGGGTAGATACGTGAGCAACAGATTGCTGGGAAAATTGATGATCTAGACAGCTCCAAACAGCTTGTTAAGGCCTTGTTTGGGAAGCGTCCCATTTAGCCAAAAAACCAAAAAGTCACTAAAAAAACCAAAAAGCCAACAACCCATACCAAAAAGTCAAAGATTCTCTTTTCTCTCTACTTTTTGCACATCTTTTCGGAAAAAGCCAAAAAGTCATCCCAAACATACTAGTTTTTTTTAGTTCATATTTTAGCTAAATAGCCAAAAAGTTACTAAATTAGCTTGTTCCCAAACGAGGCCTAAGTGTGAAGACCAACAACCAAGCCTAGAATGGGCTTAGATAAAGTAGCATTAAGGAGACTAATAAGTGTTTGATCAATATGAAACCAAAACAAATACTCAGGGTTACAGACGACAGGTTGGCTTGCAATGGTTGGGAGAAACTTCGAGGGTTGAGGATAGGATCTATCAATAAAACGCCAAAAATTCTGGCCAACAAGAAAGGGCTTCAGAAGATAGTTGGAATCAATTAATTTCATAGTCACTAACTTGGTGATGTGAGGAGCTGAAAACGTAGACCTAGAAACTATAGAACCAGATGAACTGGAGGTAGATATAATGGCACAACAAATAGAGAAGAAAATAAGTTGTTGAATCAGAGAAGAACGGACCCAACAACAACAGAGGATTGGGCAGCTGATTAGGGGAAGGAAAATTGTGGAGGGCAGAGGTAACTCAACTCACAGAAAGCTACGGGAAAAAAGAAAAAAAAAACAAAAACAAAAACAAAAACAGAAACAGAAAGGCAAAGGTGGAAGGTTAGGTCGTGAGACCCTTTGAAACCATGTAAGGATTTGAGAATTCAGTAATTGTATTCACCTCAATAGAGGTATATATAGTTGTTACAATGAGTATAAAAAAGGCATTACAGAGATTAGGTCTAATCATAATCAAACATAATCCTAAATCTAGGCCTAAATATGTGTAATAGAATATTTGCAAATATACAAATAAGGAAAGAATCAATAGATAGCTAAGGGAGCTGCCTAACAAAAAACATTCTAACCTAAAATAAGAAAAAATATCAAAATACTAACTACTAAAACCTAATAAAACAATACTTAATATATTGAGAAACATTCTAACCTAAATATACATTAAAAATAAGACAAATTATCCTAAACAAGATTGTATAAAACTCTATGCGTACTAAATGTGAATTTTCATATTTACCCTTTTTCTTCCTCCCATACTTGTCATCACTGAGGAAGAGGCTATTAATAGTGCAAAGAACGAGATATTTTCTTACAACAATAAAAACGACAAAAAACGAACGAGGGTGAGATAAAATCCATGCACATTGCGCATGCCACTCCTATAGTTTAATTGTAAATCTCATTTGGTAAGTATAAATTGTAACCCAAAGAAACCATTACTCATAAAGGTGGCAAAAATAAGGACAATTTCGACAATCGTAAGGACAAGAGGAAACCTAATGACATGGGTTGAGGTAGTGAGAAAGATGCATGCTACAAAGGGATTGGAGCCAGGTAAAGGGATTTGGGCTATGATGCACAGAGACGGACACGGACACAAAACACGATACGGACACGCAGACACTTAAATTTTAAAAAAATGGGGGACACGAAACGCTGGGAACACGCTCAATATATAAAATTATATTTATTTATTATATGTCTAAAATAAAAATAAAAAATCATTAGAAGGTAATTAAAAATACAAAATAATATAAAAGCCAATGCCATATTTAAGAATCAAATATTGGTTCTTATAAAATTATAATAATAATAAAATTAATAAACATAGTACCAAAAGATGATTTTTGTTGGTGTGAAGTATTTTACTATTAAAATATTATGTATATAATATTATAATGGAAAATGTATGAAGATGAATGCATTAGTGATGTTAGTGGGATGGTGGTGGCTTCGTGGGATGGTGATTTTTAGTGGGCCCCCACAAACCTATTTTATATACATTAAAATTTCCACTGACTTGGTACAGAATAGAAAACAAAGAAGAGAGGAAGAAAACGAAGAGACATACGAGGAAGAAAAACGAAGGTAACAGAGGAAGAAAAACGAAGAAGACAGAGTAAAAATGAAGAACAAAAGAAACAAATCAAAGAAAAGAACAAAACGAAAAACGAAGAACGAAGAACAAGTTAGGGCTCTCTCTCTCTCCCCGACGGGTTAGGGCTTCGATCCACCCCTTTATTTTCCAAGCTTTATCTTATCTTGTTACAGATTGTCCAAACGTGTCTTGGTGTATCAAAAACGTGTCCGGCTGGAAAAATTTTAAAAAAAAACATGGGACATGTCTAGTAGTGTCCAACGCGTGTCGGACACTTGTACGCTGTCTCCGGCAAGGTGTCCATGCTTCCTAGGATTGGGTATCCACAGGCTTGCTCTCGACAATCATGTCTGTCTTGGGAAATGGTTGTGAAGGTATGCTATGAAAGGGAGATGTATTGAAAAGGGTGGTGGAAAGGAATTTGTAAGGGCTGGAAGCTTTCTCTTACTATAATATATTTAGTAATAGAGAGTACAAGTTTTGGAGCAATTGTCAGTGTGGGAGAGAGCTGGCTTTCCCTAATATTTACTAGGCCATTATTAATATTTCATGGGCTGCTAGATGAGTTCCTTTGGTGCCTCTAACTTAACAAAATGTTTTACTTACCAACACGCACGGGCGTGCGTGCACACACACACACACACCAAAAAGAAAATAGAAGTCGGGAGTGATCGGGCCCTATTTGGACTTACATAGTCGACTTTGTGCCAATAAAAGTCTTAAGTTTATATTTGGGTTTGGAATGTTGCAGTCAATTTTATTTATGATTTAAAAAGTTGTAAAAGTCAGGGATATTTTGGTAATTTTACCTTTAAAAGAATATTTTAGTAATTTCAAAATTTCCATATGTGGACTATAAGGATTGCCCATAGGTCATATGGATAAAGTAACGTCATTAGTGAAGCTTGGGTAACCAGCTTGAGGAATGATAGAATATCACCCCCTATTTATAAATGAAGATTAGGGTTTACAAGAAAGGCAATTACAAGATGATCCCTGAGTGCTATCCCTGAGTGCATAAAATGATTACAGACAGACCCTAGTGTACCTTTCGGCTAATATAATATGCTAACAGAAAGAATCAATAGATAGCTAAGGGAGCTGCCTAACAAAAAACATTCTAACCTAAAATAAGAAAAAATATCAAAATACTAACTACTAAAACCTAATAAAGCACTACTTAATATATTGAGAAACATTCTAACCTAAAATATACATTAAAAATAAGAAAAATTATCCTAAACAAGATTGTATAAAAGTTAAAACTCTATGCGTACTAAATGTGAATTTTCATATTTACCCTTTTTCTTCCTCCCATACTTGTCATCACTGAGGAAGAGGCTATTAATAGTGCAAAGAACGAGATATTTTCTTACAACAATAAAAACGACAAAAAACGAACGAGGGTGAGATAAAATCCATGCACATTGCGCATGCCACTCCTATAGTTTAATTGTAAATCTCATTTGGTAAGTATAAATTGTAACCCAAAGAAACCATTACTCATAAAGGTGGCAAAAATAAGGACAATTTCGACAATCATAAGGACAAGAGGAAACCTAATGACATGGGTTGAGGTAGTGAGAAAGATGCATGCTACAAAGGGATTGGAGCCAGGTAAAGGGATTTGGGCTATGATGCACAGAGACAGACAAGGACACAAAACACGATACGGACACGCAGACACGTAAATTTTAAAAAAATGGGGGACACGACACTCTGGGAACACGCTCAATATATAAAATTATATTTATTTATTATATGTCTAAAATAAAAATAAAAAATCATTAGAAGGTAATTAAAAATACAAAATAATATAAAAGCCAATGCCATATTTAAGAATCAAATATTGGTTCTTATAAAATTATAATAATAATAAAATTAATAAACATAGTACCAAAAGATTTTTGTTGGTGTGAAGTATTTTACTATTAAAATATTATGTATATAATATTATAATGGAAAATGTATGAAGATGAATGCATTAGTGATGTTAGTGGGATGGTGGTGGCTTCGTGGGATGGTGATTTTTAGTGGGCCCCCACAAACCTATTTTATATACATTAAAATTTCCACTGACTTGGTAAAGAATAGAAAACAAAGAAGAGAGGAAGAAAACGAAGAGACATACGAGGAAGAAAAACGAAGGTAACAGAGGAAGAAAAATGAAGAAGACAGAGTAAAAATAAAGAACAGAAGAAACAAATCAAAGAAAAGAACAAAATGAAAAATGAAGAACAAGTTAGGACTCTCTCTCTCTCCCCAACAGGTTAGGGCTTCGATCCACCTCTCTATTTTCCAAGCTTTATCTTATCTTGTTACAGATTGTCCAAACGTGTCTTGGTGTGTCAAAAATGTGTCCGGCTGGAAAAATTAAAAAAAAAAAAACATGGGACATGTCTAGTAGTGTCCAACGCGTGTCGGACACTTGTACGCTGTCTCCGGCAAGGTGTCCATGCTTCCTAGGATTGGGTATCCACAGGCTTGCTCTCGACAATCATGTCTATCTTGGGAAATGGTTGTGAAGGTATGCTATGAAAGGGAGATGTATTGAAAAGGGTGGTGGAAAGGAATTTGTAAGGGCTGGAAGCTTTCTCTTACTATAATATATTTAGTAATAGAGAGTACAAGTTTTGGAGCAATTGTCAGTGTGGGAGAGAGCTGGCTTTCCCTAATATTTACTAGGCCATTATCAATATTTCATGGGCTGCTAGATGAGTTCCTTTGGTGCCTCTAACTTAACAAAATGTTTTACTTACCAACATGCACGGGCATGCATGCACACACGCACACACCCCAAAAAGAAAAAAGAAGTCGGGAGTGATCGGGCCCTATTTGGACTTACATAGTCGACTTTGTGCCAATAAAAGTCTTAAGTTTATATTTGGGTTTGGAATGTTGCAGTCAATTTTACTTATGATTTAAAAAGTTGTAAAAGTCAGGGATATTTTGGTAATTTAACTTTTAAAAGAATATTTTAGAAATTTCAAAATTTCCATATGTGGACTATAAGGATTGCCCATAGGTCATATGGATAAAGTAACGTCATTAAGTCCTTTTTTAATGAGCTAAGAAGCATAGACACAAGACATAACAAGGACACGTGTGGAGGACATGCTCTAAATATAGTTTTATATATTTATTATATGTCATATATTTATTTTTTCATTCAAATATAATAGAAAAATACAACATGACACAATTTTTAAAGTTTAAAGGATGAGGTATTTAAAGGTATAAATCTACATTTTTCCTCTTTTATCATTGGATCCCAAAGTATTTTATTCAAACTTGTAACGTGTTTCATGTGTCTCAGCAATGGACATTTATGTCCCCCAAGTGTTTGAAGTGTGTTCTCAGATCTAAAAATAAATTTAAAAAAAAAAAAAACAATAGGACAGATTTGGACATGTTAATCAACACGTGTCAAGAAGTGTCCAACATGGATATGACACCTTAGAAGTGGTTATGTTTCTTAGTTATGAGTTTTATATGGTTTTTATTAGATTTTAGAAGTCAAAATCTTAATTCCCAAAAGAGCAAGTCCAAGTCTTTTTAGATTTAGGATCCGTTTTAAGTCTATATAAAGTCGGGTAATGATTTTTAATTAATAGAGTTGAGTTTTTAGAGAATCTTCAGAGCTTTTAAAGCTTCTTTGAAATAGTGTGATACAATTCTAACATTAGGTGTGATGCCCAGTTCTGGGAGTGATTCCTAGATATCACCCCCCCACCTTTCTTCTTTTTCTCTTGCAATTATTGGCCTTTTCATGCCTCAGCAAAATCTGCCCAGCCACTGGTTCACTCCTTTCAAGTTTTCAACCCTATTTTGCAAGCCTATTCACTCTTCCTTCAAAGTTCAACCAAACAACCAAAGCACGCAAAAGAAACCCAAAACCAGCCTAGTTACTGTTCACATCCTATTAGAACAGCCCCTGTACCATTTCTTTCATGCCAAAGCTTACCCTTTTGTTACCACCTTGAACCCTAAAATTCTATATTCTTTCCAAGCTTTTGGCCACGTAAACTAGAGAATTCAACCCTAAAATTAGAGCTTTTTTCTGCTTCATTTTAAAAATTTAAGCGCTCACTACTCATAGGAGAGTGTTCCCATACTCATCCTACATTAGAGAAATAACATGATTGTCTTGGATTTATTTGAACATATGGCTAGGAAGGAAACAAGCCAGTTAGAGAAAATATCCATGTAACAAACTCCAAATAATTGAGACTTGGCCTACTTGAGTTGAATTTTGGAGTTTTTTCCTGGCCTTGGTCAAATGCAGTAGCAGGCAACTGTTATCTCAGTTAAGCCCTTCTGGCATATGATGGAGTTTTATATTCAATGACCTTACATTTGCATGGAATAACTGTTCACCAGGCATTAGTCTTGTGTTCATGACACACACATACAAATAATGATTACCACTAACATTAAACTTATGTGTATACCTCTATGAGGTTTACAGGGATGCAAGCAAAGGCATTGAAGTTTTTATTTTTATATTTATTTTTTGGTAGGGGGAGTTCAGTGTCATGTATGCTTACAGCAAGAAGAATGAAATCAACCTAGTAATATCGTCTAGTTTGCCCATTGAGTACATGAATGTGTGCAGGTTTACTTTTCCTTCAAAAAAAAAAAATGTTCTAGGCTTTTAACATCCAACTCAATTGACACTAGTGAAATTCAAAAACTCATTGTGCAACTAAAAGTTTCTGCACAAATCTACAACGACGCAAACATAGTCCATGCTAACTAATTAGGAGAGTTCAGAATAAAATCCCAAAAAAAATAAAAAATGAAGGATCATCAGCATGGTGGCAGACGATAAAGAGGGAGAGAATTGATTTAATGCAATTCTTAGTTATTACCGCTTCAGCAAATTTTATTAAAATGGTTGTCCGAGGTCGTTGCTGACCCTCTACAGGCACAAAATGTGCTGTAACCACAGCCGGAAATCCTGCACCATCCAAAACACCCTTCAAAGAAAAAAAGAAAATTCATCAGAGCTTTTAATGACTTAACCATTTAGGAGAAAACAAAGGTAATGTAGTACACACCCTTACTATTCCTGCCACAAATGCGCCGCAATTAAATGTCCCCATGTCTTTTGGTATTGAAATAAATCTACAATGCAAACATAGACCATCAGCAACATTTTAATAAACTATAACAGTTCCAGCTATTTGTAAGTCCCAATATAAGTGCAATGTGAAGAAACTGTCACCTATTCACAAGGAGTTCTTTCTCACTAATCATATATTCGTCTTCATGTTCAGTGCCCTTCTCAAGCGAATCAGCTACCTATACAATATTATGCAAGAAGAAGAAGAAGAAAAATAGTCAGTGCGTTTGAGCAACTCACCAAAATTTTAGCCTTAAAACTTAAACAGTACTGCCCAGACTTGCCAGAATTCTTCAACAAACGAAAAGCAAGGCCACATAGACATAGGCTAATTCAAAATATGCTTCATAGGGTACCAACCCTTTTCCTTGTCATGAGATTAAATGTTGTATGCATACTAAACACACTTAACTCATGGTGCTTAAGCATTTCTGGAGTTCTAAATTGCAGGATGACAGTGGCATGCACACCAAATCTTTAAAACATATGGTGGCACATTATCAAAGTCTTTTAAGGGACTTAAATCATGCAATCAAAATGAAATAGAAGGGATGCTCAACAGTAACTGTAAAAGGATATGTTGAGATGAAAATAAGAAGACGGGAAAGGAAAAAAGCATTAAGAAGAGGAAAAATAAACAACAAGAAGGGCTTGTTTGAGAATCAACCAAACAAAGGAAGAAGTTCTATGCTCATCTTTCCTAACTGTAGTTTCAATTTATATCAAGAACCCCACATCCAAGTGCTAGAATACCTAATAATATATATAGTAAGAAGTATGGACACGGACACGGACACGGACACGGACACGGGACACAACAAGGACACGCCGACACAACAATTTTCAAAAAATGCAAGACACGACACGTGGTGAACACGCATAGAATATATAATTTTATATAGTTATTATATATTATATATGTGAATATATCATTCTAAGACAATAAATAAATGCAATATAACACTAATTTTTATAAATTGACATTCTTTTTCTTTTATCATTGCATTCTAAGTGTTTTTTTTTTCAACAATGATAGGTGGCCCGAATTTTCTTGGCTTGAATGGGTCAAAACATCCAAAACGACGCCGTTTTTGGTGTAAAACGACGTCGTTTTGACACATTCGAGCCACGCAAATTCGGGCCACCAAGCATTTTTTTTTGGCACTAGGGTGTCCGGATCAAAACTTGACTAATCCCCAAGGGTGCACAAGCCCTCGGCAAGGAGTTTTCCATAAGTGCACCACGGTTAATTCAAGGATTTTCCCTTAGTCCGAATTCTAAGTTGTTTTGTTCAAACTTATAATTTGTTTCGTGTGTGTCTAATCAATGGACATGTGTGTTTAAGCAATGGACACGTGTGTCCTCTAAGTGTTCAAAGAGTGTCCGAGTCTAAATTCTATTTAAAAAAATAGAACACGTTTGGACGAGTGTCAGACACGTGTTGGGAAGGAGTCCAACGAGTGTCGGTGTCCGACACAGACACAGACACGACACGACACGACACCGATGTGCCACCTTTTTAGAAGTATCCATACTTCTTAGTATATGTATATTAACTTCCCAATACAGCCCCATATCAAGAAGCCTAATGCCAACCATTTAGGGTTGGCAACACAAATCCTACTGCGCTCTCAAAGCCACTACCAGGAAAGCCAGAACTTCAAATACACACAATGTGAGTCAGCCTCCCACTCCCAATTTAACCAAACCTTCTTTCCACTTTAACCAAACTCATAGACTGAAGGTCTAATGGTCCTTCCTTGTACTGTACAAGTTCTTGTCAGACAGAGTAGAACCACTTCATTGTACATTGTACAAACTTTGGAAACTGATGTAGAACAAGTCTCCTTGGACTTTCTCAAGAAGTGGGATCATCTGACAATCAAGGCGAAAAGCATGTAATCCATAATTTTATCCTGTTGGCCCTTATTTTCATGCTTAAATTTAGTTACCTTATTTCACACCTATTTTATAATCTATCAACAGAGTTGTAGGAAATTTAAGCTTAGGTTTGTAATTTTATTTTCAGAGAAGTTTGTCAAGAACCATTCCAGTGAGACCATATAATCCAATCAAGCCAGTGAGCTAGCTTGATTCTTTGTTTGGGTCATTCAAAATAAAAACCTGGACATGACCTAAAGCAGCCAAGTTGGTAATACTCTGAACAGGAATCAAAATGTGAATTATTTCGGTTAAAAGGTTTTAAGATTGACAAAACCAAATCATACATTTTCACCCAAGATATCACTTTACAAAATAGAAATTATCAAAGAAAAACAGAAATAGACAGATAACTGCAGCAACCTCCTTAAATTACCAAACAAAATTTTTATCTTCAAAAAATATCAAACATACCAAGACCCTAATTTTTTATTTATTTTTTAAATATAACTCCATCAATTTGCAATTTTGCACATTATTGAGTGAACCAAAACATGATATCAAAAGCCTGTTGCACTTCAATTAGAAGCCACTCTAGATTTAATGATAGAAAGTAATTTCTAACTCTATGGTAGAACATGCAGACACTGCTACTCCATAAATTTAGCTCATTAAGTATAATATCCTGTTCGTGAAAAGATAAAAGGGAAGTCAAAGACCCCATGAAATGCAGCAGCTGAAGAAGAAAGCACCACCTTTCCAAACAACACCTTCCATACTGTGCTGTGTACGAAAGACAAAATGCCCAACAATCGTGTCTCCCTCCTGTTACCCTGCAGCATAAGTTTAAAATCTTACCACCACGCACACAAAAAAGCGCACACATGCCTGCCTATTTCAAAAAAATATCAATATAATTTATTTAGAGAAAACTTAAATGGGCAAGACACATAGTTAAAATGTCCACTAAACTGTATGCTTGAGAATAATTCCTGAAAAGGTTCCTTAACAACTCCTAGCCTAAAGCGGTAGGCACATGCAAACTCAATAAACATTTCTCCAAGAAGTTCAAAGCCCAATGCATATAATAGAAATTGTGGACATCGAATTGTTTCATCACAATGTCAAACCTCAAAGATTCAACAGATAATTGTGTATGATGACAACTTTGAAAAAGTGTCACCACCAGCAATCACATGAGATATATCAACATGAAGTGTAATATTCCCATACATAAAATGACAGGTAAATGACAATACAGTTTTAGTTGTCCATTGTTAGATTGGGTCCTTTATCTGAAAGCTTCAACTCAAAGCTAAAGCCTAAAATTCCAGTTAAAACAACATATGTGACAAACAACCATTACATAAACATTCCCTGCCGAAATTGACCAAAAGATTGGGACCACCTCCAGCCCCACATGGGCCCAAATTCAAATTGATAACCTTTCTTTCTCCAATGGAGTCTCTGGAAGCAATTGAAAGCTCAAAATATCCAATGAGTATAAACTTGCAGAATCCAGACTTCGCTGTCCCAAGTTTAGCAGAGGATTTAGATGCTACACATGCCATTAATGAGCTAAGAAAGGTCAGACAACGCGCATCATTACGTTTTCTATTTTTAACAAATAGAAAATGTTATCTCTTGCTTTGTGCACTATGTCTCGTTGCTGAAATTGCTTGAAGACCAGACTCCAACATTAAACAGGCTGACACTGTACCAGGGTTTACACTTCCTGCTTCTAATAATCAAATAAAGGGGCTACAAGTTTGTGTATTTATTACTTTGGGTGACGAAAAAGAAATTCCATCAATGAGTTAAGATAATACCCAAATAAATTTGATACGTACCAAGAAATTGTAGTTCAAGAATATGTACCAATCACTAGGCTGAAGTTCTGAGAATAAGTCATAGTATCTAACAAAAGACTTCCATACCTTTTCCCGATGGCAAAGAAGTTCCAACACCCTAGCACCAACAGCATAGCCTGCATCCTCCAACCTGCCCCAATCCAACAACATTAGAGAACACCCACACTGGAATGTATGATCCAATACAGACCAATTACGCAGTAACTTAATTAAAATATTGCCATCCCATTAATATGGAAATTTCACAACGGGGTTAAAGCAGTTGATCTCCCCCACAACTGTCAGATCAGCCTAAAAATTGCATAAATTTATTCATTTTTTTAAGACCCAATCTCTTAGTTGTGGTGGGTATTGATACACAAATCATAATTGCCAATCATATATTTGTGAATATTATTTCTTCTTCCCTCCCCCCACAATTTCAACACATGGATGTTTCGAGAATATATTTATTCTTCTGCGAACTAAAGAAAATAAATAAAATGAGGGTTTTTATAACAGTTCTGCTGGCATTTATATGTGAAATAATACAGAACCACAGAATTATGGATATGTGGAAATTGAATGATTACCTTCTTTCTAATTCTGTGATGTTGTCAACTTGGGTTTGATTGTACTGAACAAGCTCCGAAAACAAGAATGCAAATGCACTCAAACTCACCTGTAAGAATTACAAAACATGAATCATTTTCCACCATCATAAATTATTGTGTGTGCCTCTGCTTGTACATTCTCACATTTCCCTCATGAAAAAATGAAATCCCAAACACAAAATCGAATTAAGGCTAAAACCCACTAGTTTTTCAAGAGTATGAAAGTAAAGAAAATAAATCAACATTCTGAACCTTAAATCTCCCATTCTGTGTCACTAAACTTAGTCCTTGAATAACGAGGTAAACCCACTCCAATTTAGTTTCTGATTTATTTTATTTTCATTTAGTTTCTGAGCAACCAAACGAATCACTAGGTCATTAACACAAACGGGTATAGTGAGACCTCGACAAATTGAGAAACAGCAATTTACTGGATCAGGGAATCAAATGGAAATCAATCGTGAATGTATGTAAATACGTAGATAAATATGAAGCGAGAGAGAGAGAAAGAGAGAGAGAGAGAGAGAGTTTGAGGGTACCTCTTGTTTGCCCTTGCTGAGGGGTTTGTCGAGGAACAGCATAGCCTGCATCCTCCAACCTGCCCCAATCCAACAACATTAGAGAACACCCACACTGGAATGTATGATCCAATACAGATCAATTACGCAGTAACTTAATTAAAATATTGCCATCCCATTAATATGGAAATTTCACAACGGGGTTAAAGCAGTTGATCTCCCCCACAACTGTCAGATCAGCCTAAAAATTACATAAATTTATTCATTTTTTTAAGACCCAATCTCTTAGTTGTAGTGGGTATTGATACACAAATCATAATTGCCAATCATATATTTGTGAATATTATTTCTTCTTCCCTCTCCCCCCAATTTCAACACAAGGATGTTTCGAGAATATATTTATTCTTCTGCGAACTAAAGAAAATAAATAAAATGAGGGTTTTTATAACAGTTCTGCTAGCATTTATATGTGAAATAAGACAGAACCACAGAATTATGGATATGTGGAAATTGAATGATTACCTTCTTTCTAATTCTGTGATGTTGTCAACTTGGGTTTGATTGTACTGAACAAGCTCCGAAAACAAGAATGCAAATGCACTCAAACTCACCTGTAAGAATTACAAAACATGAATCATTTTCCACCATCATAAATTATTGTGTGTGCCTCTGCTTGTACATTCTCACATTTCCCTCATGAAAAAATGAAATCCCAAACACAAAATCAAATTAAGGCTAAAACCCTCTAGTTTTTCAAGAGTATGAAAGTAAAGAAAATAAATCAACATTCTGAACCTTAAATCTCCCATTCTGTGTCACTAAACTTAGTCCTTGAATAACGAGGTAAACCCACTCCAATTTAGTTTCTGATTTATTTTATTTTCATTTAGTTTCTGAGCAACCAAACGAATCACTAGGTCATTAACACAAATGGGTATAGTGAGATCTCGACAAATTGAGAAACAGCAATTTACTGGATCAGGGAATCAAATGGAAATCAATCGTGAATGTATGTAAATACGTAGATAAATATGAAGCGAGAGAGAGAGAAAGAGAGAGAGAGAGAGAGAGTTTGAGGGTACCTCTTGTTTGCCCTTGCTGAGGGGTTTGTCGAGGACGTTGGTGTATTGCTTGATCTTCCCCACTCCGATCATTCTCTCCTCCCTTAAGCCTTGAGAATCATAATCCAACCACCTTGAGAGTGTACTATGATTGAGTTTGATTTGCAAACAAAGTTTGTTTAAGATGTATAAGTTTGTTACTTTTATTTATTTTATTTTATTTTTGAACCTTTTTAAGTGTTGAAATTTGGGTTTTAATAACTACTAAAGTTAGAAAGAATTATAGGGCATGGTCCGGATTGGACTGGATTGGAGTAAAACCATAACTAATCCGTTACCTACGGATTCTGAAAAATTGGAACCAATCTAATCCGTTTAAATCGTAGAACCAATCCGAACCAATCCATTTAAATACGGATTGGATCGGTTTAGGACCACGGATTTATATAATTAAATAACAAAAATATATATATAACACTTTATTTTCATAAAAATATAAATATAGCACCATATTAGTTTCACAATAGCAATATGTCTTTTCATAATGGCGACAAATTGTTCTAGAATTTAAACAACCATAAAGAAACTAGTTCCACCATAAGTATTTAGACCATTACAAATTAACACTAAAAACTAGCAAACAAAAATAATAAAAGAAGATACTATGCAAGTTTAGGTTTGGATTTAAGTTTTATATGAAATAAGAGAAGATATTATGCAGGAGGGTGTATAATAAAAATATAGACTATTTGTATACGGTCCGGATCGGTTCCAATCCGGAACCGTGGGATTCAATCCGGAACCAATCTGTGAACTACGGATTTTTAATTTTTCAATCCGGAACCGAACCGCAGATTCAAAAAACCAATCCAAACCTACTGGATTGGACTGGACTGGATCGGATTACGGATTTCACGGATTCCTTGCTCAGCCCTAAAGAATTAACCGTCTTTCTTGCACCTTAACTGATAACTCACACCCTTATTTTTATAATCTTTTTTTTTTGCTTTTAAATTGTTTTTTCAGAGCTTAAAAATGACTTAAAAGTATGGTTTAAAGTCCCAAAAATGAAGAGATTAGCCATCTCTCCTTACTCTTGCTTACTAGTTTAGTGTCTTCTTACTTTTACCTATCTTTTTGTGCTCCTTAAGACACTTTTAGTTACTTTTTTTTTTTTTGGCGCTTTAGCGGCTGTTTAGGCTTGTTTTATTTCATTTAATTAGTTTATATTTTGAATACTTTACTTGTTGTATTGTACGTCCTCATGGCTTCAGTTGTTTAGACTTTAAACATTGAGTCATTCGAGTTGATAGCCTTCTTTATCTCATGTTAAAAAATCAATCTTGCATAATCATTTTTACATCCTTCCTCGTTTCTTCTTTTCTTTTGTTTAAGAGCCATTTCAAACGATTGATTATTATTCGAGGCATGAGAAAGAATTCTAGGCTCAATGGCTTAATCTCTACGGAAGTTCATTGCCAAGGCGTAGTCTCTCTTTCATGTTATGGATCACTTCTCATTTGACATGTCTCTTCTTGCTTAGTGGACTTTCCTCTCATTATCGGATAAATTGATTAAGTAATGGAAAGGATTAATAAAAATTGGCTTAAAATCAATGAAACCAACATAAAGAAAATGTTTGGAATTAGTTGGATTTGACCAGACATTATGCCGAATCCATCACTTCGAGAATTGTCACTTATCAATCCATAATATTTTGATGAAACTTGAGGCGTGTCTATCTCTCTCTTTGAGCCTCTATGATGAGATGGAGGAGTGGTCATCTTTATTACATTCATTAATTTTTTGTTCAAATTGTGTTTAAAATCATTAAGCCATCAACATGTGCTTGTTGATGATTTTAGAACCAAATCCGCTCTTCTCTTGAAGTTTCACATGACAGAGAAGAGCAGATGGGACAAACAGGACTTAAGCTACTCTGTCTGCACTATTTTCACCTTAGAGCACAAAAATAGGTTTTGCATGAATTAGGGCACGGTCGGCCTTGTTTGGACCCAGCCCGGCTTCATTGGGGGCCGGGCGAGCTCCAATGTTTGGTAAGCAATGCATTTTTGGAAAAAACAAAGGGCAGTAGCTGAAGGTGGAACAGAGCGGTCTAGGCAGACAGAGTAGTTTCTAAACACTGTCTTCGTCAACACGCATGCGATCTTTGTGTATTCTTATTGTTGTTTATCTTAATGTAATTATTGTAATTGTTGTAATTATTATTAGTGTACTTATTGGTGTAATACTATATTGTTGTAATTATTATTCTCATAATCATAATATCCTTGTTGTAATAAACTAGATAGCTAGTTTATTTCTTATTTGTTATTCGAGTTTGTAATAGTTAATTTAATTCGGACACTTGGACATTCAGACCCTCTTGCATGAGGGCAAATATTTAATAAGTGTGTGTCTTCCAACCCCCATTTATTTCTCCATTTTATTTACTCGCTTATAATGGTAGCATAGAGTACCATATTTCCTTAGCATTTTCCATGATTCACGTATATTCGTCTTGCATGCATAAAGGTTCGGCTCATCATACTAACTAATGTCAAATTCTTTAATCGAATATGTGATTTATCCCATGTCTTGGATTGAATCATATGCTATGCTAGTAGTCGAACTCATTGTTTGCATAATGTGTACGTTGCATTAGTCATATCGCATTACTTAGGAGCATGCATGTGTTTCTAATTATTTTGCTTTGTTTGGCTTGTCTTGGAGTACTAGGTAAGCATTTATTGTTTTAGCATATTGCATTGTGTGTTTGTGTTACCATGTCAAGTATGATTCCATAATACTAAGTGCTTAAGTGATATACTTGTTTGAATGCTGGTGGATGAAAGCCTTTTTACTTAAGTTGGGCTAATTTGATTCAATGTACATACAAATTTACATTTTCAAGTGACGTGCATTCAAAACACTTTTTCAAAACAAATATAGAATCAATGCGTTCTAAATTTTGTGAATTGGTCTATAATTGTGTGCATCACCTAGTAAAATTAGCCTAACAATCAGAACAAGAGCATATAATATAAATAAAAATCACATCATGAATAGTAGAGGTCAATCTTTAATCGGGTAAGTGGGGTGCTCAATAAATGACCTTCCCCTTCCATTCCTAAGTTCCCGAGTTGAGACACTTTGGTGATGGCGGACTAATGGCCTTTTGGCATGAGTCACAGATTTTCTAAATTTCTCAAAAATATTTAAGTGGCGACTTTGAAATCTGACAATGCAGTCCATTTTTGGCATTTTTATTCAAATTCGATTTTCTAAAAGATTTTTTGGATTTGGACTCATTTGTGTTTATCTATTTCACATTGCACTTGTGAAATTAAATTCAGAATCACGAGAGTCCGAACTGTAGGGCGAAAGGAGCACGAAAAGCAAGCTAAAAGAGTGAAGTTGCCTAGGTGCAGGACCTACAAAGGGCTTTTGCTTAGCAATGATTAGCTCCTAGGATACACAAAAGCGTCGAGGTTCCAATGTCAATGTCCTACCTTGCCTATGAAGCAACAGACAGAGCGCTAGCAAGATTGCAAAGCTCGTCATTCTTTCCAACAATAGAGAGCGCATCACTGTCTTTAGGTTTTAACCAGCCTAAGTTCACGATCTATGACGGGAAGTCAGATCCAACATGCACCTTAGCCACTTTGAACAAGTAATGGCTATTCACAGGAGAAATGATACCTTGATATGCATGTTTCTGTCAAGCCTTGGTGACCTAGGCTTGACTTGGTTTGAGAGATTGTCAGAGGGCAACATTTCCTCCTATGAGAGAGGTGCTAAGTGTTCAACCAATTGTAAATAAAGGAAAGATAGAGGCAAATAATGTGATTTTTTTCTCTAACAGGGACTTAGCTCAATTGTAGAACCCCCATAATGACGAGCTGGTGGTTACTTTGTATGTTAAGAATTTCGACATCAAACAGATCTTAATTGACCAAAGGAGTTCCTGCGAAATAATGTACTATGAAACCTTCAAGCAACTAAAATTAGATGACAGAGATTTGGCGCTTTCTTTTGTAGGTTTCAACTCCATGCTAGAATGGCCGATTAGCAAGATCATTCTGCCAGTCAAAGCTACCTTAATATTCAAACAAGTGGAGTTCTAGGTTTTGAAAGTCCCATCCACTTACAACATTATTCTTGGGAAAGCATGGTTGCATACCATGCAAGCCATAACGTCAACTTACCATCAAGTAATGTAGTTCCCAAACGAAGACGGAGTGAGCGAAGAGGTCTTAGGAGACCAAATCATATCTAAGCAATGCTCCGTGACCTTAAATGGCAACCATGTTGCCAAAGGATTTGTTTAGATGGTGGAAGAACATGAGAGAAATGACATGTTCGCCGACGTTGACAGGGCAGCCGAACAGAAAAGCCGCGAAGGATCTAGTGGAAGTAAGGGTTGATGATAGTAACCCAGAAAAGTCTTCCTATTTGGCTCATCATTATCCAACATCGAAGAAAAAGAAGATCGTGGTTTTTTTTTATCTCCAATCTCAAAATGTTTACCTGGATGGCATACGACATGCTTGGCATTGATCGAAACTTCATTTTCCGTTTACTCAATGTTAACCCCACCGCTAGACCAGTTATACAATGAACTAGTAGATCGGTTCTACACTACGTTAAAATAGTAACTGAAGAGGTGGGGAACTTGTTGGAAGTAGGGGCAATCAGAGAAGTCCATTATCCAAAATGAATTTCAAACACCATGGTGGTGCCCAAAAAGAACAGCAAATGACGTGTTTGCGTGGACTACAATACAGTCAACAAAGCGTGCCCAAAGGACAACTTTCCTTTGCCAAGGATTGCTTGGCTAGTGGACCTAATAGCGAGACACAACTGGCTTTACTTTCTGGATGTATATTGTGGATATCACCAGATTATATGTATGACCAGACCAATAGATCACTTCTTTCACGACTTCTAGGGAAGTGGTAGGAATGGAAGCTTACAACTTAAAAGATGTGGACAACCGAACCGTGCTAAGATTGTGGAATTTGGCCAGTCTGAAGTTATTTTATTTTTAGCTTCTTAGTACTTACAATTTTCTT